GATTCAATGTGTAACTTCAGATTTCTTGTTGTAGTGGCACTGTATTCACATTGATCGCAAGAATATCTCACTCCTTCATGTTTAGATTCAATGTGCAACTTTAGACATTGTACTTCGGTAGCAAAGTATTCACACTGGTCGCAAGGATATCTCACTCCTTGATGTTTTTTTTCAATGTGTTTCTTCAGATTACTTGGATGAGTTGCAGAATACATACACTGGCCACAGGGATATCTAACCCCTTGGTGCCTACTCTCCATATGTAACTTCAGATTTCTTGATTTGTTGACCTTGTAGTTGTACAGGTTACAGGGATATCTCACTCCTTCGTGCTTAGATTTAGTGTATTGCTTCAGATGACTTGCTGTAGTTGCAGCATACACGCAATTTAAACAAGGATATCTCACTATCTATCTATCCTTATCTCCCTGGTAAAAATTTTGAGACGTCTCCTCTTGAATGATCAAAATAAATGAGAAAAATGAAAATTTGAAGTTTACAATGAAAACTATTACTTAATGTTTTCTTTTTTGATGTGCTTTTAAATGACAGGATTGGGTGACAAGGTATTCACACTAATCGCAGGGATACCTCACTCCTTCATGCTTAGTTTCTGTATGCCTCCTCAGACTAGTTGGGTCAGTTGCAGCGAATTCACATTGATCGCAAGGATATCTCACTCCTTAATGTTTTTTTTCAATGTGTTTCTTCAGATTACTTGGAAGAGTTGCAGCATACATACACTGGCCACAGGGATATCTCACCCCTTCATGTTTAGATTCAATGTGCAACGTCAAACTTTTTACTTCTGTAGCAACGTATTCACACTGGTCGCAAGGATATCTCACTCCTTCATGTTTTTTTTTAATGTGTTTCTTCAGATTACTTGGATGAGTTGCAGCATACATACACTGGCCACAGGGATATCTAACTCCTTGGTGCCTACTCTCAATATGTACCTTCAGATTCATTGCTTGGCTGGCCACGTAATTACACAGGTCACAGGGATATCTCACCCCTTCATGTTTATTTTCAATGTGTAACTTCAGACTCTGCTTAACAGTAGCAACATATTCACACTGATCGCAGGGATATCTCACTCCTTCATGAATATTTTTAATATGGATCTTCAGATTAACTGCCGTAGTGGCAGCGTATTCACAATGAGAACAAGGATATCTGACTACTTCATGTTTATTTTCAATGTGTAACTTCAGACTCTGTTTAACAGTAGCAACATATTCACACTGATCGCAGGGATATCTCACTCCTTCATGAATATTTTTAATATGGATCTTCAGATTACCTGCTGTAGTGGCAGCGTATTCACAATGAAAACAAGGATATCTGATACCTTTATGTTTGTTTTCAATATGTATCTTCAGAACACCTGCTGAAGTTGCAGCAAACTCACACTGAACGCAACGATATCTGATACCTTCATGTTTATTTTCAATATGTTTCTTCAGACTTCTTGGTTCAGTGACAGCGTATTCACAATTATCACAAGGATATCTCACTCCTTCATGTTCACTTCTATTATGTTTATTCAAATTACTAGATTTAGTTGCCACATAACCACATTTTCCACAGGAATAACTTTTATCTCTTTTTTGTCTCAGCTTACTCTTTTTAAGTTTCTTTTGTTCAGAGAAAATGAGATCTTTTTCAATCTTGTCATTTTCACCTGAGAAATAATAAAATATTAAGTACAAGAAAGACATATCCTAAAATTAAAGGGAATGTTTTTGTAATTTCAAGTGACTCTGCATTTAAACTTAGAGACATGCCTGATTCACATCGGTACCCTTGAAACCTTCATCTGATCTTTAATATGGAAGATAATTGGTGATATGGAAATTTAACGTTGAGAAGATGACATTAAATAGTACTTTCCTCTTTAACATCTTCTCCCACTACATACACAGTACATGTATCCTCTACAGTAGAGATTTCTTCTTTAATGGTAACTTTATCTTTTTCCATAATTTCTGCCATGCTCTCTGAAATATGTACAAAACATGTTATACCTTCAAGGGTAAATAGTCTTGTAAAATAAAATGAATAAATAAAACTGCAAACAAATATTTACACTGATATCATAATAAGAAGTTATCGCCAAGAGGTTAAAACATACTTTGGTAAAATGAGAAAACAGGATGTTAAAAATTAAGACCAAGTGCTGAAAGAAAGAGAAAGACTGAAAATGAACCAGCTGACTGCAAGCTAGGTCAGGCAGTGACAATTGAAAGATACCGGGCTGAGCAGAACCAAACCAGTCTGGAAGATAAGGGAAGAAAGAAGGAAGATGACTACATCAGGCCGCATCAACTTAAAAGTACTAGGCCAAGCAGAACCGAACTGGTCCGAGAGATAAGGAAGCAAAAAGGTAGATGACCATTGATCAGTCCTACCTACTCCCCCCCTCCATTCCCCGACGTACTGTGCAACATATCCCTCACACTTTATCCCCCAGGCTTCAAGCTAGAGAGGGGAGGGGGTGGGGGGAGATTTGCAATCATTAAAACAAATTACAACCCCACTACAAATCCAATAAGATTATAATCTTCTCCTCACTAATTAACACATACTAAACTAAATCAGATTAGCTCATTTAGAAAAGATCCCATGAACAGCTGATCTGTTCATAAAAAGACTACTTTTTATAAATCTTTCACATAATTAAGATGACATCTAAACTCTGATTGATTGAATGCAGCTCTAATTTCTCCAGAGTAGATTAATCGATTTAACACAGCTCCAATATCTCCACCAGAATAGATTGATTGATTGATTAAACACAGCTCTGATATCATTGGTTGATTGAACAAAGCTCCGATACTCAGAGTAAAATAATTGATTGATTGATTAAACACAGCTCTGATATCATTGGTTGATTGGACAAAGCTCCAATAATCAGAGTAAAATTATTGATTGATTGAGTAAACACAGCACTCATATTATACAGTATATTAATTGATTGAACATCGTAGTTCCGGTGTCTCCAGAGTAGTTTGATTAATTAAACATAGCTCCGATATATCTAGAGTAAATTAATTGATTAAACGCAGTTCCAATATCTCCAAAGTAGAAAAATGATTGAACACAGCTCCCAAGTCTCCAAAGTAGATTAATTGAACAAACAAAGTTCTGATATCTTCAGAGAAGATTTATTGATTGGTTGAATACATCTCTTATATCTTCACAGTGGATTTATTGATTGATTACAACCCCCATTTTCTCCAGAGTACATTGATTGAATGAACACCAGCTCTGATTTCTCCAGAGTATACTCTTTGATTGAACACAGCTCCGATATCTCCAGAGTATAATCTTTGATTGAACACAGCTCCGATATCTCCAGAGTATACTGTTTGATTGAACACAAGAGCTGTCTCAGATTTCAGATTTCTGAATAAATATTATTACAGTTAAACAAATCAATCTAAATAATAATTGTGAAAAATGTCTATTAATCACAATACTATGCTTGATGACAGTTGGAGTGCATATTCAAGCATTTAATAGGGAACTGGGGATACTTGGGAATATTTAATAAATGAAGATAAAAAAAAAATTTTAAAATAATTTATTCATGAAAAACATAAATTCTCTAAAAAACTGAACATTACTATATGACAGTAGGAGTGCATATTCTTACAAGCATTTAATAGGAAACAGGGTATGCTGGGGAATATTTAATAAATGGAGACAAATACTAAAAAAAAATCCATTCATGAAAAACATATATTCTCTAAAAACTTTCGATTATTTCTAAGTTTACCTTGTACTCCTGTATCTTCAGTACATGTATCCTCTACATGAAAGTTTAGCATGATAATTGTTATTTCATAAAACTGAAAAAATGTTTTTAATTTCCATTTTTTCAAAGATAAAATTTGTCAGAGAAAAAGTTTTTGCAAAAATGTTAAAATGATAAAAATATTATTTAAGAAAATAAGAATGATGAGGGGAGCGGGAGAACACAGTTGAGTTTGATATAGAAAATATACAATTAGAACAAAGATTTATATAATAAATTCTACAATAAGAGAATTTTTTAATAGAAGAGAAGTGATAATTTGAAGCTTACATTGCAAAGCCTTTCTTCTTATTATTGTTTTATTGTTGAATAATCCTCAGGAACCCATGTAGAGTTATAATGAGAATGTCTTTGAAGACTTTGAGTTGCTGATGATGGTTCTGATAGACTTTGTGACTGGTAATCTTGCATCAGCATCTCATGGATACTGTCCGAATTTGTCATAGCTTCTCTTGAAGATATTCACTGTAGTCGACTGTTTAACTTCTTGTGGGATAGAGTTCCATTTTCTTGGAATTCTCAAGCTGAAGAAATTGTTCCTGATACTGGTCCTAGAGTTTTGTATTTCCAAGTTCAAAGGGTCATTAGCCATTCTTATCACTCTGTTGTGGTTGATCTTTCTAAACCATGTATTAGGGTTGACATCACAGAATCCATGAATTATTTTAAATGTCTGAATCATGTCGGCCCGCTCACGTCTTTCTTCAAGTGAAAGCAACTTCAACTCAATCAGTTTCTCTTTTTCTCAATCAGTTTTTCTTAATTAATGTTTCTTTTTTTGATGTGTTTTTAAATGATAGGATTGGGTGGCTATGTATTCACATTGATCACAGGGATATCTCACTCCTTCATGAATATTCTTAATATGTATCTTCAGACTACCTGCCCTAGTGGCAGCGTACTCGCATTGATCGCACGGGTATCTCACTCCTTCATGTTTATTTTCAGTATGATTCTTCAGAATACCTGCTGTTGTTGCAGCATACTCGCATTGATCGCATGAATATCTCACTCCTTCATGTTTAGATTCAATATGTCTCTTTAGACATCTTGCTGTAGTGGCAGAGTGATCACATTGGTCGCATGGATATCTCACTCCTTCATGCTTTTTTTCAATATGTTCCTTCAGAGATCTTGCTGTAGTGGCAGCGTGATCACATTGGTCGCATGGATATCTCACTCCTTCATGTTTATTTTCAATATGTATCTTCAAATCACCTGCTTGAGTTGCAGCGAACTCACAATGAGAACAGGGATATCTCACTCCTTCATGCTTATTTCCAATATGTTTCTTCAGATTACCTGCAGTAGTGGCAGTGTATTCACAATGAGAACAAGGATATCTTACTTCTTCATGTTTAGATTTAATATGATTCTTCAGATTACCTGCTTGAGTGGCAGCGTATTCACATTGATCGCATAGATATCTCGCTCCTTCATGTTTACTTTTAATATGTTTTTTCAAATGACTAGATTGAGTTGCCACATAATCACATTTTCCACAGAGATAACTTTTATCTCTTTTATCTGTCAGCTTCCTCTTTTTTAGTCTCTTTTGTTCAGAGAAAAGGGGATCTTCTTCAATCTTGACAACTTCACCTGAAAAATTAAAAATAAGAATTAATAAAAGTTGTTGAAATTTCAAGTAAATCTAAATTTAAACTTAGGGGCATGTCTGATTCATATCAGTACCCTTAAAACCTTCATCTGATCTTTAATATAGAAGATAATGTCGAGCTTTTCCATTTCTGCATTGCTATATATAAATAAATATAAATATATATATATATATATATATATATATATAAAATGTTCNATGTTTAGATTCAATGTGTAACTTCAGACTCCTTACACCTGCAGCAACGTATTCACACTGATTACAAGGATATCTCACTCCTTCATGTTTAGATTCAATATGTCTCTTCAAACGACTTGCTGTAATTGCAGTGTGATCACATTGGTCACATTGATATCTCACTCCTTCATGTTTAGCTTTAATATGTTTCTTTAGATTTCTTGGATCAGTAGCAGCATACATACAGTGGCCACAGGGATATCTCACTCCTTCATGTTTATTTTTAATATGTCTCCTCAGACTACTTGCTGTGGTAGCAGTGTGATCACATTGGTCGCATGGATATCTCAATCCTTCATGTTTATTTTCAATATGTATCTTCAGATCACCTGGTTCAGTGGCAGCGTATTCACATTTATCACAAGGATAAATCACTCCTTCATGTTTACTTCTATTATGTCTCTTCAAATTACCGGATTGAGTTGCCACATAATCACATTTTCCACAGGGATAACTTTTATCCCTTTTTTCTCTCAGTTTCCTCTTTTTAAGCCTCTTTTGTTCAGAGAATAGGGGATCTACTTCAATCCTGACAACCTCACCTGAAAAATTATAAAATAGAATAAATAAAATATTAACCTCAAATTAACAAATGGTTTTATATTTTTAATAAAGTCTAATTTTGTCTTGAGAAACCACAAAGGCAAATAATCTCTTATTTAAAAAAATGTAATGGATATCGCATTCATAGTTTGTCAAACAAAGCTTTGAAACTATTAAAATACACTTTTTTTATTGAGGGTCAATTGAAAGTATGTTTATAATTAGTAAATAAACTATTCCACTAGCCGGTTTTTATAAAAATTCAAGGTTAGTTCACTAATGCATTCGGATAAAATATGGAAAAAATGGTTCCGTATTAGGGGTCAATATAATTTTATCCAATACGATCCCAAATTTTGATTGTTTGATTTTAGGGGCATAAATTATACAAAAAAACATGTCAATTGGAAGTATGATGTCAAGTTGTAGAAAAAAATCCTTATTGCAGAATTTGTTTACTGCAAGAGACTGTATATTTTTCTGTATATCATAATTTATCTCGTATATTGATTACTGATATTTACATTCCTGAAATGTAGTACACATACACAAAAAATTTGCCAAAGTTCCCAATGACACAGAAAGTGTATTTTCATGCTCCTTTATGTACTTATAACCTCAATCCCATTTAGGATCAGAAATGGAATTGTTTGGACTCCTGATCCATATGGAGCACTGAATTTGTTGACATTGAAACAAATAAGAGGCAAAAACTAAAATAGACCAAAATTTGGCCGAATTCCAAAATAATCATTATTTTGCTGATATATATAGAAAAATTTTGAAATTATGAAGAAAAAAATGAACAGTGTTCACTGGCTCCAGGCGCATCTTTCTATACCAAGATTACATGTTATAAAGTTTTTTTTTAATGCCATACATTCCAAAGAAAGTTCTGCCACAGAATTTCCTCTGAAGAGTTTGAGGTGAAGACAATCAACCCTAGAACATCAGGGACACAATGTCCCAGATTGTTATTTCATGTTTGTTTTCAATATGTATCTTCAGACAACTTGCTGCAGTGGCAGCGTATTCACATTGATCGCAAGGATATCTCACTCCTTCATGTTTACTTTTAATATGTCTCTTCAAATGATATAATTTAGTTGCCACATAACCACATTTTCCACAGGGATAACATTTATCTCTTTTATCTGTCAGCTTCCTCTTTTTTAGTCTCTTTTGTTCAGAGAACAGGGGATCTTCTTCAATCTTAACAATTTCACCTGAAAAATTCAAAAAGAGAATTAATAAACTATTAAACTAACCTAAAGTATCTCACATGGTTTAAAATATTTAATAATATCTGTAAATAAAGTTAATTGTGATAACAGCTTTTAGATTTATGAGCCCGAAGTTCTAAAAAAAGGCAAAAATCGATCATCCTAAAAAAGATATATATGAAGAAAATGTTTACCCATACCTTGATTTTCTGTCCTTTCCTCTTTAACATCTTCTCCCACTACATAAACAGTACATGTATCCTCTACAGTAGAGATTTCTTCTTTAATGGTAACTTTATCTTCTTCCATAATTTCTGCCATTCTCTCTGAAATTATGTACAAAACATGTTATACCTTCAAGGGTAAATAGTCTTGTAATATAAAATGAATAAATAAAACTGCAAACAAATATTTACACTGATATCATAATAAGAAGTTATCGCCAAGAGGTTAAGGCATCCTTTGGTAAAATGAGAAATCAGGATGTTAAAAATTAAGACCAAGTGCTGAAAGAATGAGAAAGACTGAAAACAAACCAGCTGACTGCAAGCTAGGTCAGGCAGTGACAACATAAAGTTCTAGGCCTAGAAGAACCAAGTGGCAGCGTATTCACAATGAGAACAGGGATATCTCACTCCTTCATGTTTATTTTCAATATGTAATTTAAGATTTCTTACTGTAGTGGCAGCGATTTCACACTGATCACAGGAATATCTCACCCTTTCATGTTTGTTCTCAATATGTATCTTCAGACAACTTGCTGCAGTGGCAGCGTATTCACATTGATCGCAAGAATATCTCACTCCTTCATGTTTACTTTTAATATGTCTTGTCAGACTACTTAGTTGAGTGGCAGCGTATTCACAATGAGAACAAGGATATCTCACTCCTTCATGTTTAGATTTAATATGTCTCTTCAAATGACTGGATATAGTTGCCACATAATCACATTTTCCACAGGGATAAATTTTATCTCTTCTTTCTGTCAGTATCTTCTTTTTTAGTCTCTTTTGTTTAGAGAAAAGGGGATCTTCTTCAATCTTGACAATTTCACCTGAAAAACTCAAAAAGAGAATTAATAAAATATTAAACTAACCTAAAGTATCTCACATGGTTTAAAATTTTTAATAATATTTGTAAATAAAGTTAATTGTGATAACAACTTTTAGATTTATGAGCCCGAAGTTCTAAAAAAAGGCAAAAATCGATCATCCTAAAAAAAATATATGAAGAAAATGTTTACCCATACCTTGATTTTCTGTCCTTTCCTCTTTAACATCTTCTCCCACTACATAAACAGTAAATGTATCCTCTACAGTAGAGATTTCTTCTTTAATAGTAACTTTATCTTCTTCCATAATTTCTGCCATTCTATCTGGAATATGTACATGGTACAATACATGTAATATTTCAAGTTAAATAGTCTTGTAATATAAAATGAATAAATAGAACTGCAAACAAATATTTACACTGATATAGTAAAAAGAAGTTATCGCCAAGAGGTTAAAGCATCCTTTGGTAAAATGAGAAATCAGGATGTTAAAAATTAAGACCAAGTGCTGAAAGAATGAGAAAGACTGAAAAAAAACCAGCTGACCGTAAGCTAGTTCAGGTAGTGACAACATAAAGCATAAAGATCTAGGCCTAGAAGAACCAAACCGACCAGGAAGATATGAGAAGAAAGAAGATAGGTGACCATTGATCTGTCCAACTCCCCCCCCTTTCTTTCATTGACGTACAGCACAACATATTCCTCACATCTTATACCTCAGGCGCTTTGTCATTTTTCCTACAAAGAACAAGGATATCTCACTCTTTCATGTTTATTTTCAATATGTATCGTCAGACCACCTGCTGAAGTTGCAGCAAACTCACACTGAACGCAGGGATATCTGATACCTTCATGTTTATTTTCAATATGTTTCTTCAGACTTCTTGGTTCAGTGGCAGCGTATTCACATTTATCACAAGGATAAATCACTCCTTCATGTTTACTTCTATTATGTTTATTCAAATTACTAGATTTAGTTGCCACATAATCACATTTTCCACAGGAATAACTTTTATCTCTTTTTTGTCTCAGCTTACTCTTTTTAAGTTTCTTTTGTTTAGAGAAAATGAGATCTTCTTCAATCTTGTTATTTTCACCTGAGAAATACAAAAATAGAATTAATAAAATATCAAGCACAAGTAAGACATATCCTAAATTTAAAGTGAATGTTTTTGTAATTTCAAGTGACTCTGCATTTAAACTTAGAGGCAGTCCTGATTCACATCGGTACCCTTGAAACCTTCATCTGATCTTTAATATGGAAGATAATTGGTGCTATGGAAATTTAACGTTGAAAAGATGACATTGTGGGAGACGATGCCTGGCCGCGTTAAACAAGTTCCACAAGATTCAACAGAATGAGATAGAACAGATAGGGAGCATAGTACTGATAAACATCTACACGATCTACACGATCTACATGATTGTGAGATTGAATTCACATTGGTTTTAGTTTCTAGAATTAAATAGCTGGTTTATCTATCTATCAAGTTCCCGGTGAATAATTCTTATTATTGTCACCTAGTTTGCGGATCTATCTATCTATCAAGTTCCCGGTGAATAATTCTTATTATTCTCACCAAGTTCGTGGAATAATCATAATTATTACACAAAATGGGTGACAATTACAAGAATTATTCCGGATTTGGCCACGTAGTAAATCTATAAGAATGTGGTATAATAGTATATTATGGTTTTTCTTTCAATATTATAACAATAATTTTGACTATTACACTTTCTTCCTACGCATAATAATATTATACCACCTTTACAAATAATTAAAATTATTACACAAAATGGGTGACAATTACAAGAATTATTCCGGATTTGGCCACGTAGTAAATCTATAAGAATGTGGTATAATAGTATATTTTGGTTTTTCTTTCAATATTATAACAATAATTTTGACTATTACACTTTCTTCCTACGCATAATAATATTATACCACCTTTACGAATAATTATAATTATTACACAAAATGGGTGACAATTACAAGAATTATTCCGGATTTGGCCACGTAGTAAATCTATAAGAATATGGTATAATAGTATATTATGGTTTTTCTTTCAATATTATAACAATAATTTTGACTATTACACTTTCTTCCTACGCATAATAATATTATACCACATTTACGAATAATTATAATTATTACACAAAATGGGTGACAATAACAAGAATTATTCCTGATTTGGCCACGTAGTAAATCTATAAGAATGTGGTATAATAATATATTATG